GTAATCCCAGAACCAAATGGTGGAGCCACCAGGCTGAAGAAGGAGTCCTATCGGGCTTGGTTAGCCTGTGGGACTCCGGAGGCAGCCGACAGGTATCGACAGGCCAAGCGGAATGCGGCTCGGGCAGTGGCTGAAGCAAAAACTCGGGTGTGAGAGGAGTTCGAAGAGGCCATGGAAAAAGACTTTCGGACTGCCTCGAAGAGATTCTGGCAAACCGTCAGGCATCTCAGGAGGGGTAAGCGGTGCTCTACCTGCACTGTGTATAGTGCTGGCAGAGCGCTGCTGACTTTGACTGAGAAAAATGTCAGACGGTGGAAGGAATACTTCGAGGACCTCCTTAATCCCACTGACACGTCTTCTGAGGAGGAAGCAGAATCTGGGGATGAGGGGGATGACCGCCAACTTCCGGGGGCGAGGTCACTGAGGCAGTTAAACAACTCCTTGGTGGCAGAGCCTCTGGTCTGGATGAGGTCCGCCCCGAGTTCCTGAAGGCTCTGGACATTGTAGGGCTGTCCTGGCTGGAAATCCCATTACTACTGTGAGTTATAGGAAGGATTCTTTTTAACACTTTGCCATTCTTTGGCCGCTGATTTATACCCCCCCCCTGTCTTTTGCATTGGGTTTTTGTCTGTGACTGTGTGTCTCTGTGTTAGTCCCCCCCCCCAAAAAAAAAAAAAGAATAAAATGACATGATCATCTCCACTACTTGTTCTTCACTTCCTCTTACAAAACTATAGAGTCAACCTTCAGAATAAAATGGATTTAAGGCTACTTTTGAAAGAAGTCTTCCAGAGTGAAGTCAGTTTTCAAAACTTAGTTCCACGTGTCCTAGCTTTGTTTATCCAATCAAATAGATGTGCCCATCTGGGATTTTTTTTTACACCATTTAAAAAAATAATTGGCTAACCAGAGCTGATGCTGTTTGCATGTCACATGGGAGGTAAGGTAATGATGGGAAACACTCTGGAGATTCAGCTGTGCTGATCGATTGATACTAACAACACAACACAATACAAGACAGAGACACAAACTGCATTTTACCTAATAGACTATAACAATGCTGGTCTTGTATTTTTAGCCTTTATGGACTCTGGATTTGTGAGCACTTCTATATGTTTTAGTTCTTAGTTATATTAATATTTTTTACAAATATTTTAGTTTTGACTGAAACTTTTATATATATGTTGCTTAGTAAATATAACTAAAGTATAAAATGTCATAGCAGGTAAATTGCAGACACAGGACATGAGTTGGTTGGAAGAGTATTAAACAAGATATATCTCTAAACAAATGTCTTATATCGTAAGGAAAAGACCCTACATTATTTTACTGAAAACCCAACAACCTGACATTCACCATAAGCAAAAATTCAGATGTGGTGGGTAGGAATAATTTAATAAGAATAGATTTCTGACGGAGTCATAGACATTGTAAGGAATAGATGTAGCTTCTGGAAAACAGCCTTCAGTTTGCTCTCTCTGTGACCTCAGTAAACACTTCTGATTATTAAGGGCTCAACCACTAGTTTCAGGTCAAAATGAATTAAACATGAAGGCCATTTTGTAAATTATGGTCATTATTAAATTCAGAAAGAAAGATTATCCAGGGTATGTTCATTGGCTAATGACTTGTCAATCACCATGTTCAGCTAAAAGCCTCAAAATAAGACTTCACCAACCAACCAGCGATGTTGTGTTGGCTACACCTATCTTTTATACTCGTTATGAGGAGCCATTTATGGACAGGGGAGGGGGCAGCCATCTGCCATAACTAGTTGGGGGTAGAGGGGAAAGTGAAGATCGACTTATTCTGAAGGTCAAATCACAACACCGGGTAAGGCATTAGCCATAAAATACTGTTTACACATTTCACTTTCTATGTTGCTGAATATTTGAATTGTTTTCTGATCTCCACTGGGGAATGTGAACTTAAAAAAAATATACAGTATGGAGTGTTTTGTTTGTTTGTTTGTTTTACATGTCCAAATATTAACTGTTTGCAGGTGAATATTATGGTACCCAAGCACATAACACTACACAGGCATAAATATCCCGCAATGATGATTGCTGAGATCTAACCAATGCTGTCATTAACCCTTTAAAGCCGGTCGGAGCGGGCACGCTCCGTTTTGCGCAACTATTTTTAAATCCCGGTAGCACTGCAACCACGTAAGCTAGCGCAATCATTTTTTTTTGCATATGAAACCGGAGGAGTTGTACTTACATCTTATGCCATCAGCTTGTCCTAGGTCACAGTTTCCTTCCACATATAGCTTTGCAAAAACTGCATAAAAAGCACTTGCAGCAACAAAAACATAATATTCCAGAAACATGCTTTGCCGATCCGATCAGCTGTTTGTAACACTTCCTACATTGGAGTAGATGTCAGTGCGAAATACCGCATGTCCGCCATTGCCTGCCCGAAACTGTCTCTGTGTTAAAATGTATTTGTACTGTTGTATTTTGATATTGAACTTCTCAACAATATCACAAACTAAATGATTTTGAGCAATAAAACAACTCAACAAACCAACTGAAACTAAACAGATTTTTTTAAAGAACATAAATGCAAAAAACCAAACAAAATATTAGAAAACTGATAATAAACGAATAACTCTGGATCTTACATTAACTGTTATTTTTTCACTTTGTCAGACAAAATGATAATCAAGACTGTCTAATGAAGAATTCTCTCTAATTGGCTAAACATTCTCATGAAGTGACATGTTATGACTTAACTAGTGCAGCTGAAACAATTCATACCTCTGAAATTCATTCAGACCCAGGTTAAACAATAGTACTGGATAATTAGACACAAGCTCTGACAGGCACAGCTGACAAAACCAGAGCAAACTTGTTATTCTTAAGATGGAGTAAGCAGGATATTGTGGTCTTAAAAACTCAATTAACTTTGTATTTGCAAATAAAAAGTTGTGTGTTCTATCACTCGCTGTAATACAAAGTTTCTCTGGAGCTGCTAAACCCACTTGAACTGTGACCTCAGCACTGAACTGAAGAGGAAGCTGATTGCTTTAGACGTGTTCTCCTGTGTCTCCTGTGTCTCCTGTGTTTAGTTACTTAGACTAATTCTTGGAAGCCGTGTTGTGATCTGTGTCGTATGTACCTGAGTGTGTAGTTTGTCGGTGTGGTGAAGAGGCAGCCGCTCACACTTTAAAGGAAATCGTTACCTCTTAATTAGAGCATTACTGCAGTGATAAAGTTACACCTCCAGATAATGATGTGTCTATCGGAGGCACATACAGAGCTCTACCTCTGCTAACTTTCTTCCTTTTCTTTTCTCTTGCTTTGTTCATTCAACCTTTAGTCTTTTTTTACTTCCCTCTATTCATTCTCACCTTTTATTTTATTTTCTTGATTTCCAACTCTTCTTCTCACAATTTTTTTAATTCTTTTTTTATTCAAGTTGCAGTTCCACTAATGGCCACTTGAGGCCGCTTCCAAAAGTGAGTCAATATCCATAGACTCCTATGTTAAAATGTCCAAACTTAAAGCAGAAATAAACATGTTTACTTTAAAATAAAATGTGTGCCAACATAGGATGCACCAGCCAGCTGCTTACCTCATAACCTTTTAGGTTTAATTCAGCAAAACTATATTTCTAACCACAAGTCTAAGCTTAGGAGAAAAGCAAAAATTACTGTTTGAAAAAAAAAAAGTTTTTGATGGCATGCCAGTTAGAATGATTACTTTTTGTCTCCTGGTTTCCAAGGCATGCTTCTGTCTTTTTGTCTCTCTTGGCTCTTCACCATATTCTTTGTGTTTTTACATTTAACAGCTCTTACATACTGTGGCATCATGTATATCTGTGAGTCTGGTGACAGTTACAGGACATTCCCGTGTGTGTGTTTGCTGACACGCAGTGTTTGTAGTCTCGCAGCACTGACAGCGTCAGCGTGGCGCTCGGTGCTACACAAGGCCCTTCAGGCTTCCTCCTCTCTGCTGAGGCTCAAAATGGCTTCTGTCTCACATCTCCGTTCTCAGTCATGAGCTACTGACGCGTGTTCAAAGACGACAACAGAGCTGGAACATGGCAGCCGCTTCGCCTGCCTTCAAACCTGTTTACAATCGAGTGAGCTGAAGACAGTTCGCTATGACCTTACCTGAACGCTGCTCGGTCTGTCAGCTGCTTCAGACACTTTGCATCTTAATGGCTTGAACCTCTCCCACAGAATCCAGACCACTGATACGATTAAAAGGGTTAAGTTGTGGTGTTAAACGATTGGCAGTGACTCCCAGTCTCTCAGTATATGAGTTTAGCGCCTCTATAGACTGTTTACTGTGTTTTTGCTTGCTTCGGGTACTCTGTCTGATTCCTATAGCCATATTTCTTGTTATAATAGCTTTTGGTCTTTGTTTTGGAGAAGGAAAACCACAAAAAAACAGGAAAGAATGCCAGCTAACCTGACCCCAGGGTCATGCTAATGTCACATTAATGCAGGAAAAGTTCTAATTGATTTTCTCAACGCAGTATTGATTCATGTAGGAATGCTCGCGTCTGTTTGTTGGAAGTACTGAAACACCGTAATGTTTGTTTCTGACTCCTTCACTATGTTAACTAGTTGCTATGTTTTCTGTTGTTTGATTTGAAACTAAGAATTTACCAGATTAATCTGCTGCTGTGTTCACTTAGTTAAGCCTCAAGAATTGCAGCCATCCTCCAACTAACACCTGAAAATGTTAAGTTAAGCAGCAGCTGTCTGTGAGCAGATGAATGTGTGATGATCCACTGAGGCTAATGAGATCAAACACATTTAGGGCTTTACTAATAAGCTGATGGCTCAGGTTATATTTCTGTTAATTAGTCAGTAATTAACTGAGGCTGTTATAGAAACTTGTTAATGTGAAACATAATCCCAAAAGGCAACTAAGTAAAGGTGTGTGTGAACACTCGGACTGAGCAGCAGTAGCATTGATGCAGAGATGCTCCAGCATGCAGGAAGAGGTGTTTATATGTGCTGTTTTCACTCTATGTTTCTGCAGTGCCTCCTCAGTTCCTCAACTACCCGACCAACACGTACGCCTATGAGTCAACCGACATCGAGCTGGAGTGTGCTGTGACAGGAAACCCGCCGCCGACCGTCCGCTGGATGAAGAACGGGGAGGAAGTCATCCCGAGTGACTACTTCCAGATAGTGGTGAGTCACTCAGAAAAGTATACACATACAGTCCTTGTGAAAAATGTGGACACACCTACAGAGGTAAACTAAGCCCACCTCAGCTATGAAATACCACATATGGAGTTCTGTAGCAAATAAAAGTATTAAAAAGTAGCCTGTGTTTCACATTTTAGACCATAGCCTTACACGCGTCACCTGTTACTACACGTTATAACTCTTTTATCTTTTCACCAGTATTAATTCAATAGCTTCCAGCCGACAGTAGTTACTGTGTGTAAAATACCCATCTGAAAAAAGGGCAAACAGACTGTAACTGTAATACACATGTATTCCAAGTTTACTAGGTACATATTGTTAGTACTGTTTTTTGCCTTAAGAAAAGCTTAAATTTTTGGTCTCTTAGATTTACCAAGGTGCTAGAAACAGAGATTTTGGTCCATATTAGCATGACAGCATCACCTAGTTCCTGCAGATTTGTCAACTGCACATCCATGAAGCAAGTCTCTCATGCCACCACTTCCCAAAGGTCCTGTATTGGATTGAGATCTGGTGACTGTGGAGATCGTTTGAGTACAGAACTCACTGTCATGATCAAGAAACCAGTTTGAAATGATTTGAGCATTCTGACATGGTGTGTTGTCCTGCTGGAAGCAACCTTCAGATGATGGGTTTTGCTGTGGTGCTCTAACTTCAGTCAGCAAGGCATTTTTGCTCAGAGATCTGCAGCTCGCTGGATAGTTTCTTTTTTTCAGACCATGCCATAAACTCTAGAGACGGGCGTGTGAAAGAATCCCAGCAGATCAGCAGTTTCTAAAATACTCAGACCAGCCCACCTGGCACTAACAACCACACCACACTCAAAATCACTTTATTCCGATGCTGAGTTTGTCTTCACCTTGCCTACATGCATGTGATTCCATTTTCCAGTAAAGAAGCATTTTAATAAACATAAACACAAATAAATAAAGCAGCACAGACACACCATTTTTTCCCGTATATGTTTTTAATGTGAAAAATTATGCAGTTATAACAGAACCGCAGGGATCTGTGAAATCAGTGAATTTGAGAATTAGAGAGAGCGTTAGAGAGAGAGCTAGAATATGGACTCTTGTAATTGAATAATCCAATAATCTGGGTCATCCAACATATTCTGCTGCAGACATTTTTGTTCATGCACACTTTTTGATTTGGTGTAACTGACATATTTTTCACTTGTACAAAGCTCTTAGCCAGACTCTTAATTTTCTGACATGTTGTTGTCTTTCTTGTGTTTTAGGACGGCAGTAACCTGCAGATTTTGGGCTTGGTGAAATCAGATGAAGGATTTTATCAGTGCATCGCGGAGAACTCTGCCGGCAGCTCTCAGGCGATGGCTCAGCTGCTGCTCCGAGAGCCAGGTAGGAACACACACACACACACACACACACACACACACACACACACACACACACACACACACACACACACACACACACACAGCTTACACATGTCATATCCCTCTGCTGGTTACAACCTAAACATCCAGCTGTCATCACCTGCCATCCTCATTTCTATCATTACCTCTTCAGTTTCAAACTTTTGTTCATATTTCTGCCCCCATGTGGTGGTAGTCTATCTAATTAACTGGCAGATGTCGCTGATTAAAGTTATTTAAGTTGTAATTATATGTGAGGGAAGCAATAATTATAAATTATAACATTATTAGGATTTACAGAGGAATGGTCTAAAGTTTTGACCTTATATGTAAATAAGCATTAATAATATTTTTGTTGACTTACAGTAATTTTGCAATGACAAATATTCTGAAATTCATATTCTGAAGCCCAACAGTTTCTCTGCAGTCTGCTTTATGGGTACATTTTTTCCACATTAAATATTTCCTATTGATGGATTTATTTTAGCTCTATGAATTATGCTAACTTTGCTAAAAAGAACAAGATGACTTAAACACCCTGCACGACATCAGTCATGTTCATCCATGTATATCAGGTTTTTTTTAAATGTGTGAGCTAGGTCCCTTTAAGCTCTGGGTTCAGTCCATCCCAAATACATTAATACAGACCCTCTCAGTGTGATCAGAGGTACCCTACAAAGATGTATCTGTTCTGTTAGGGTGTATAAAGACGCTGGATACAGGTAGAGCGTGTGCAGCTATTAAATCAGGGCTTGCTGTAACTCTTTTAGCTGCTTTTGTGTTGGTAATGCATACAGTGATGCTCCTCCTATTTCTTTCTTTGCCTACACATTTAATGTAACAGTAGGTAATTAACATGTGTTTGCTGTGTTTGCTGTTAAATTTGTTGATTTTGTTTTTTTTCTGAATGGCTGTAGGGTGTTGAGAGTGAGAGTGCTAATGTGTATTAACAGTTTAATTAGATGCACATTGTAATGTTAAATAGTATCTGTAATATTCTTGTGTTAGTTTATAGAAGGGCAGCCTTGAATGAGCAGTCTAAAGACATTACATTTTGTTTATTGGATATTAACTCTAGCCAATAATTATTTTCATCTTGCTTCCCAGAGGAGATTGGTTATAGCTACCGACCAGCGATGGACAATTAATTTTCTCAGGAGGCCACATGAGAAACTGGAACTGTTTTGGAGAGGTGCAACAATAAACTGATCTCGATTCTACTTGATATTAATTGTCTCTTGTCTCTTCATAAGCTTAACAACAGTTCCAGGTTCTCATGTATCCCATTGGGAAAATTAATTGCCCACCCCTACATAAAGACAGTATAAAATATGAACATACTTTCTAGCTCTGAAAAGTGAAGCCATTGGAGAGGTTCCAATGGTCCTATGGAAGTCTATGGGAAAATGGGCTTTTCCTGAGGAGCTCATGTTTCAGTTCAAGTCAGTCTTGTAAACTTTCTCCACTGTTCGTATTATAGAGGTTTAGACAAGTGAAAGACTCCTGATTCATTCTTGGGAGGAGACACAAATCCTTTTAGGGCTGCATGACATCTTGGTGTATATCAATACAGATGTGGTTTGATGACCATTGGAACAGTTTCTGTGTTCACTCTGATTCAAACCCAGTCATTTCTTCTATAAATAGGCTGAAATAGGAGTGAAAATACTCAGTTCAGAAAGAACCAGAGTTCAATTTAAATAGACTAAATGCAGCAGGTGTGAAAACATTGAAAACACAAAACAAAATCTATATCAAAGACCACCTGACCCAAATCAGCAGCCTACTGGTCAACCGCTCAAACCACTGGATCATCCCAAGTTTTCCACCTTTCATTTTTTAGTTGCTCCACCCTAACTGATGCTGGATACACATTTATTAGACTTTATTTACCATACAGAGGGCTGGCCCTTTCAGGGCGGTCTGCTCGAGCAACGATCCTTTGGCCCTGTCCCCGGTGGATGTGGCCTGTTCTTACATTTGGTTTTGTCAGTAATCACATCACAGTCACAGCTGAGAGAACAGCAGGAGCTGGCCCATTTTGGCAAAGCCATTATTTGTTGTGTTGTTGTTTGTGTTGGTGTTGAAATCCAGTTAGTCATGTGGAGCGACATAAGCTACCATCTGACACACCCACAGACACACACACACACATGCACAGTAATAGGGAGATGTGAACAGCTCAGCCACTCTGCAGAACACCTGAGTCAGCACAATAGAATCATTTTGCATCTAAATGGACCAGCAGCTGTGTGCATGTGTGGATGTGTGCGTTTGTTTATGTGTATGGCTATAACCACTCTGATTTATCCTGGTTGTGATCCTGGACTGTGTAGTATCTGTTTATTTGAAACCTAGATGTTTTAGAGAAGCTAAGCTCGTTGCGAGATAATTGTTACAGGAGCTCGGATATGTGCGCTCGTGTAAACAGCTGATGCAGGCTACTGGTCACAGTCTGCAGCCTGCAGTCTTCAGCTGAAGTCATGTGATGTGAGTGGAACAAATGTGCTGCCGGCAGCAAATAATCATCTTTTTTTATTTTTAGATTGCATTTTTAGTCTCCAAGTCACAGAGGAGCACATAGCTTTATTTACTGCACAGACAACCAGGCTTTAATTGGAAATGGGCTGTGTGTCTTCTGTTATCATTTAAACTTAACTCACCACAGCTGCTTTTTGTTGTCAACACGAACTTCAGGCTTTCTTCATCTGTTTTATATTAAAAGCCTTGCAGTGAAGCAAGTCAGCATCGCCAGGCTTTATTGTGAAATGACAGCAAGAAAATATTTTTAAAAAGAACCCTGATTTCAAAAATATATATAGCCTATTATAACATGAACATCAGCACACACACACACACACACACACACACACACACGTGTGTGTACATATATATATATATACA